TTCTTCATTCAATTCTTCCAAGTTACTAAAGGTAATCGTCATAGTGGAATAAAGATAATGTAATCCACAAACTTGGAGAAGTTGGTAAATCTGTTCAGCACATTTCCATGCTTGGGCAGCACATCTAGGTCCTAAAGCTTTCTTGAGATTATTATGAATCTTCTGTATCTTTTCCTTACTACTATCAGCTTCTTTCTTTAGCTGTTCTAGATAATACGATGTTTCTAACATTCGAATTTGTTGATCACATAATTTTCTATGGCTCTCTTCTTTTAGTTGACTAACAATTTCTCTGAGTTTTTCTTTAAAGTTTATTCTAACTAGAGGGTTGTGTCGAATAAAAACTTCTTCTTTTACTTCTGTGAAATCCTTAATAAGTCGAGCAAGAACTTCATTTTCTGCGTCTTGTATTTGTACAGTATCTGCATTGGTTCGATAGAAAAAGTAAGATCATCAAATGCTATTTCTAGAAAATAATTATTTAGCACATCAACATTTTCCAAATGTTGTGTAGGTAGGTCCAGGTCTGTTTCTGGTACGTATTGGAATAACGTAATAATATCAGTTCCATCATGTACTACAATAGAATTTCTATTTATAATTAAACTATTGTTTGTGACAAGGGGTCCTGATTCCATAGTATAAGAAAATTATTTAAAGCATTTATAGTCTGGGGTTGTAATTGTTGTAGAGTGGGAATTTCTATTTTCAAGATGTTGGGTGAAAATTTACCAAATTGGAGAATGGAAATTTTGATGCAAGGGGTATCTATTTATAATGTTTTACAGTAATACGAATTAAATTAAAGGATTTTTGAAATGTTTGCTTGTGTATCCCATATGGAGTGTCTTTGTCTACTATAATTGTCAAACAAGTTTTTGTTTAACCGTATGCTCTGGATCTTCAATTCTAAAAATAAAAATTCTACAATGTTCTATTAATTAAAAGTTCTTTGTCTGTCCGTCCCCTTAAAAAGTGAGGTCTCTGAACTTCATGTGCTAATCTGTCCAAAATTAGCATCTAATTGTCTATAGATTTCCTATTCTAGCAATCATATTGTTAGTTGCGACTGTATTTCTGCATGTATCATATGATCTTTCATTCCAGCTAATTGTGTTTTTCTGTTATTTAGTCCTTGATTTTTGGTATTCATCGTATCCAAAAATCTTTTATCCACAACCTTCTGGTTCTTATCTTTCCTTTTCCTTTTCTCTTTTTCTTGTTCTAAACTTTTTTTAATATCTTCGTCTTTTCTTCTTGTAGTTTTTCCGAAAAACTTTTGTCTTTTGTCTTGTCTTTTTCTTCTCGTTTATCTTGTCATCGTTCAAAGGTGTGTATACTTGTTCTGGCTATGTTCTAAGTCTCGTCTAATTTAGGCATATGGGCTTGGCCGGTCTTCTACTTAGGTGCGCTATGTAGTTGGCCCTAGTAGATATTTTTCCCTTTGTTTTTCCTCTTTTTTATTTCAATACCTGTGGTCTCTTGTGCAGATAGGATAAGAACTTATGTCTATTAGTATTGCAAGTAATAGACCTTGCTTGTTATATTCTTGGGATAAGGGTCTTTCCAATTTTTCTTTTGTCGTTTTCCAAGTTTATATACTTAGAAATATGTCATTTCTAATTAAGTTTTGCTTTATAAATGCCTCGTCGTGGTAAAAGAAGTTCAGTTCCTGATTGATTGTTGGCGCTCCATAATCAAGTTATAAGTTTAGAAGCAGAATTGGCTAAAAGAAATCCTTCAGTCTTAGAAGCGGCAAGAGAAAATTTCGTTCAAGAAACTCGGCTTCAGAATCTTAGAATGGAAAGAGATAGGCTACGTGTTCAAGTAGCAAATTTGGAGGATAAGGTGCAAGAATTAAGAAGGAGGGTATGGGAGAATAGTAATAGTAATAGTAATTATTTTTGTAATATTTTGTAAATAGAATAGAATAAATAAAAATAAAATTTTAAATCTAATAGTAATAAAATTGTAATAATAATATTTGTAATAATAAATAAATAAAATAAAATAAAATTTGCTGTTAAAACTTTAAATAATGTTCTAAGTATAAGTTAGAGTTTGGGGTTGAAAAGTGTTAATTGTTAATGATAACAGTGGGTTGCCAGTTCTGTTTCTCATAGTATTGCGCAAGACAATCACTATTATAATAACCTAATAGTGTTTTGCCTTTTAACGTCAAAAGCTTGTATGCTCTGTTATTTAATTTAGCTTAGATAATAAAGGGTCCAGTTTATTTTTCTTCGAATTTAGCAGATCGAGAAGCTTCAATATCTTTTCATTGTATCCACACTTTATCTCCAATTTCAAACTCTTCTATTCGAATTTTCGAATCGAATCTTACTTTCTGTTTCTTCTGAGATTGTTTAGTATTCTTTCGAGCTTCACTATGTTGATATGGTAACTCATTCATTAATTCGAACGCTCGGGATAAAATACTATCTTCTAGTGATATTTCTTTATCTGTTTCTTGTGGTTCAATTGGGAGGGTAGCTTCAATAGGTAGTATAGCTTGTCGTCCATATACCAATTGAAAAGGTGTATATCCAATAGTTGCATGTCGTTTAGTCCTATATGCGAATAAGACAGCTGGTATATATATATCCCAATCTTCATTTGTTTCTTTGACTTTTGCAAAGGAATTGCAAAGTGTTCGATTTAGACGTTCAACCATACCATTGGTTTGTGGGTGATATGGAGAAGAGAATATATGTTTGATCAAGAACTTATCACACAAGATCTTGACAGTATCACTAATAAAATTTCTCCATTATCAGAGAGTATCATTCTGGGTACACCATGTCTACATACAATTTCTTCAAATATAAATTTAGCTAAAGTTTCTGCTTCAGCGTCTGGTACAGCTTTTGCTTCAGGCCATCGAGTAAGATAATCAGTAGTGACAATAATATACTGATTATTTTGAGCAGTTATTGGTAGGAGTCCTACAAGATCTATACTAATATGTTCAAAGGCTCGTCCAACTTGAATAGGATGGAGTAGTTCCTTTCGTCTATCTTTCTGTCTCTTCTAACAGGTTTTACATAAGCGAACATAGTTCTGTATATCTCTATACATTTGGTCCCAATAATATCTCTCAGATATTTTATAATACATAGCATCAGTTCCTAAGTGTCCAGCGGTAGGATGACTATGCATCATATAGAGAATAGGTTCTACTTCAGTCCATTTAATTACTCGAATAGGTTTGTCTGGATCTTTTCGATTCTTTTTGTATAATAATTTGTCTTTGAGTTGATAATATTTTGATTGTCTAATTAATGTCCGTTTTTCATAGTCTGTTAAGTCAAGAGGAATTTTGTCTGATTCTAAATAGTTTACTAAATTCTGATAGTGATCCAAATTCATGTAGGGGCAATATGTATAGGTTGTGTCTGGTTCTCAAGTCGTGATAATACATCAACATTGGAATGGATTCGTCCGGGTTTATGTATGATAGTGAAGTTATAAGGTTGTAACTTCATTATCCATCGGCCTAATCGTCCTTTAGGTTGAGATGATTTTAACCATTTAAGAGCGGAATGGTCAGTGATTAGAGTAAAATGGTCAGTCCCAAAATATTTGTGGAAATGTTCAATAGCCCATACTATGGCAGCACATTCTAGTTTTGTGGCTCCATAGTTAATTTCTTCTTTTTTCAAACTTTACTTGCATAAGCAATTGGATGTTCTTTTTGGTCATCCGAAATTTGACTCAGGGTGGCTTCAAATCCAGTATAAGAAGCATCAGTGGCCAATATAAACTCTTTCTTGTAGTTAGGATAGATTAGTATAGGGGCAGTAACTAATCTTTGCTTGAGTTCATCAAAAGCTTTTTGACAACTTGAACTCCATTCATAAGGGGTATCCTTATGTAATAACTGATTAAGAGGTTGAGCAATGGAAGAAAAGCGTTTAATAAATCGTCAATAGTATCCAGCAAGTTCTAAGAAAGATCTTAGTTGAGTGACACTTGTTGGAGGTAGGATATTTTGTACAGCAGCTATTTTGTCTGGGTCTGGGGAGATTCCTTTTTCTTCTATGATATGTCCAAGAAAAGGTAATCTTTTCATCCAAAAGTTACACTTTTCGATGTTAAGCTTGAGTCCAGCTTTTCTGATTCTTATCAACACTTCGCGTAGGTGCTTGATATGATCATCAAATGTTCGAGAAAATACATTAGTATCATCAAGATAAACTACTACGTATTTGTAAGCAATATCCTTATAGACTTGATTCATAAGACGTTGGAAAGTTGCAGGAGCATTGCACAATCCAAATGGCATTACATTAAATTCGTAAGTGCCATATCTTGTAATGAAAGCAGTCTTTTCTCTATCTGCAGGGTGTACCATAACTTGCCAATATCCACTCATAAGGTCTAAAGTAGAAAAGTATATAGCTCCAGCTAATGAATCTAACATTTCATCTATTCAGGGTAATGGGTATTGATCCTTTTTGGTAACAGCATTTAATTTTCTATAGTCAATACAAAATCTCTTCTTGCCATTTTTCTTGGCTACAAGTACAACAGGAGAGGCCCAGAGACTTGAGGATTCTTGTATTAATTTATTATCCAACATTCGTTGTACTTCTTCGTTAATAAATTTTGTTCAGCTTGAGGTACTATATAGGGTCGAGAGCTAATAGGAGGTATATCTTCTGTATATATTCGATAGATAACTAGATTGGTTCTTCCTAGTTAAGTAATATTCTTTGCAAAAAGTTCAACAAATTCAAGAAACAATTAGCGAAATTGAGCTCCTTGACTTGGGGTTAAAGGTCCTATCTTTGGGGTCACTTCTTGAGTTATTGTATATACTTCTTGTTTTAATAAATTTTGTTGTATAGCTAGGTTGAGAGTATCTGTTTCTGTTAGTAATTCGTCTGTATCACCAAGTAGTTTTTCATCTTGTTTAGGAATATTTAAAAATTTAAAGGTCTATTTTCAGAGAAAGAAAACTCTGAGTATAATCTTTGCATTTTATAGTAAAAGGTTTCTAGATGGTCAATTCTATTTTGAAGAGTAGTAACGAGTTGAGATTGTTGTTTCAAGGTTTGAATCTTTTCTTAAAGAACATCAATTATTTGTTTCTGTTGTTCGACTTGTTGTTGCAACGAGCAAATTATTTTCTGCATATCATCATTAGCAATAGATGAAGTTGATTTTGAAGTTGGTTCTTCTGGTTCTGGTTCTTGTATAGGAGGAGGATGAAGTTTATCATAACATTCTTGACAATACTGATTATATTGTACAAGTTCAGTCTTGGCTTTGGCCATAAGACAATTTTTGCAAAGTCTTACAGTTTCTTGGAAGTTTCTTTGCAGATTTTGCATTGCTCGGTGCTGATCAAAATCTGGATGGCTTATATCAAAAGATTCGGCAAGAATCCTTTGTAATTCATCTTCTTCGGTTGAGGTTAATTGAATATAAGGAGCTCTCATAATGAGGTTGATTTCATCATCTGTATAGTCCTGGTTAGATCGGTCAGTTGCTAGGGGTTCCAGTGCACTAGCAATCCGTTCATTATTTTCTCCTAATTGGATCTGGGCTAGACGATAGATTCGACTTTGGTTAAGGTCATATGCATTTCCTGCATTTCTAGTAGACTCGGTATAATGTTTAACTCGGGTCCACAAGTTATAGTTAGGGTTCCATTCAACATCTTTGGCAGCCTTGTAAGCATACAAGTGCTCTAACTCACAAAACCAGGTATCTTCTTCGACTGTATCTAGTTTATACATTCTGGATCTAATGAATTCTTCGCTACAGACTCTACA